TTCTCTCTTCCTTTGCTATGTTACATCCTTCTGTCTTTGCATGTTTCCCAATACCTGCTGCTAACTATCCTTCTCCTCACTTTGCTCTTTTTTTTTTTTCAGGATCATTTCCAGAAGTTCCTTCCCACAGTGGGAGGCCAGCTGGGCTCAGCTGGGCAGGGAGTCTCCTACGGCAAGGGCAGTGGTGGAGGCCAGGCGGGGGACAGTAGCTCTGCTGGACAGTATGGCTCTGACCACCAGCGCCATCAAGGCTCTGGGTCTGGAGCTGGGGGGGCAACTGGTGCTGGAGGCCATGCCGGCAGGGGAGGAGCTGCTGGTGCAGGAGGGGCTGGCGAGGTGGGATCAGGCAAGTACTTGTACCCAAGAGTCATGGATTTGGTCCCTAGAGCACAGATGTCCTCAGAAATGAGGCCCAGGCTGGGTGCGGGGGATGGGGAGGGGAGCCAAGAAACATCCTGAAGGACTCTTTCAATCCACTGAGTAGGCTTATCTTCAAGCCATCTTGTTGGCTTCTGAGATCAGTCCCAGACCAAGCTGCCATCACACAACAAATCTTCCATAGTGACCAGGATGTTATTAGTCCCTGGCCAACTCCCCCAGTGCAGGGGCATGGGACTAACTTTCCTAGGCTACTAACTGTTATTATTTGACTTTCCTTTGCCATGACTACCAGGAGACCAGACAGGTGGAGATGGAAAACATATCACTGTGTTCAAGACTTACATTTCCCCATGGGACCGAGCCATGGGGGTTGACCCCCAGCAAAAAGTGGAACTTGGCATTGACCTGCTGGCCTATGGAGCCAAAGCTGAACTCCCCAAATATAAATCTTTCAACAGGTAGGGGTGCTGGGGAAGGAATCATATGTGTTCTAGTGTGTGGCCTTAGTGTTCTTGGACTACAGACTACAGTTCAAGCATTTCAAAGGAGGAACAGGGAATATAGGTACCCTGATTGAAGATCCTTGTTATTTCAACGCTAACTCAGTTTCACCACAGCCAATGTGATAAAGGAAAAATTTGTTAGGAGGCAGAATTTGAATTCTGATTCTTAGGCCAATAATTAGCTCTGTGGGCTAAATAACCCTATTCCGGGTCCTGGGAGTTTTGAATGTAAAATGGAAGTGACATATGATATATTTCAAACCTTTATATCCTGCTTTAGTAAGACTCTAGTCATCTATTTTGGAGTTGAGCCTCTCTAGACTATGAATGGAAAAGAGGAGCTAGAGAGGTGTTCTTTGTATTTGATTGTAAGGAGCCTAAATTTTTCAAGAAATGTCAGTTCTTCTTAGTCAAAGAAATATTGTGGGTATCAGCAGGATTAGACAAGGGAATCTCTATACTGTAACGTAAGGTAGCTTTAGATCTTAGATCTGCACTGTTTGGGGTCACTCCGTTGGACATGCTGATCTGGGTCACAACTATCCACGAGACACAAGAATTTACTATATTATTTTTCTCATTAATAGCTTTGGGGGTAACAGTCAGAACAATAAAGGGAGATTGGGTGCTAAGGGAGAAGAACAAAGAATACAGAAGTAATTTTAAATTAGAATTCAGACTTGCCCATTGTTAAAACTGTGCAGCATCTCATTGATAAGGCTCTGGTGCATGTGTGTGTATGTGTGTGTGTGTGTGTGGTGTTCTGATTCTTCATGAATGTGTTTCTTCTCAGGACGGCAATGCCATATGGTGGTTATGAGAAGGCTTCCAAACGCATGACCTTCCAGATGCCCAAATTTGACCTGGGGCCCCTGCTGAGCGAACCTCTGGTCCTATACAACCAGAGCCTGTCCAACAGGCCTTCATTCAATAGAACCCCTATTCCCTGGCTGAGTTCTGGCGAGCATGCAGACTACAACGTGGATATCAACATCCCCTTGGATGGAGAAACGGAGGAGCTGTGATCTGCTTCCTTCTCTCATTTGTATCAAGTTTCTCCTCTCTAGTTCCAGTTTGGAGAGGGAATGCTGAGCAGGATACTCCCACTGTTAATCCATTATCCTTATGGAAATGGAGAGAAAAAAGGGGGAAAAAATCTATTTTTCCATCCTTCACTCTAACCCCCAGTCCAAGCATCCTTCCTCACCAACTCAAGAGCTCCCCTTGCACCACTGGGAATCTGTTCTTTTATGGAGTTTGCTCTGCCAACAGTAACAATAAACTTCAAGGAAATGAACTCATTCTTCCTCTAATATTTGAGGGCAGATGAAAGTTGAGGCCAACAATGCACAGGGACTAATTAAAGCCAAATACTAAACATTCATTATTCAGACTTTAAGACCAGACTTGAACTCTGGTTGCTTTCACCACCTACACCCACATCCACACCCACAAAACCACATTCATAAGGAATATGCAAAGATATTCAGTAGCACATGAGACAAATACTCATGCACAAACACACATGCCAACCTATGTATGTGCAAAGCTAAGAAACCACTGTACACTGCGATTACCAAAAAGGTGATGCGAGCTCTTTATGTAGCTGATTAGAAATTGGCAAACAGCAAATCAGGAAGGCAATGGAACGTGATGGGAGAAAACTCAAGGATGTTTTGATTATGACAGAGAGCATACAATAAAGTTTTCAGATGATACCAGGGTAACTTTAGGACTATAAATGTCAAAGGTGATAGACACTCAAAACAGAGCCATATGATGAAACTCAGAAGGGAAAAGGAGAAACCAGCGGCAGATATAGAGCATGCTCGGCTCTCTGTGGATACAGCAAGAGAAGATCTAGGGGCCGGGTTTAACATTGTGCTACAATGGGTTAAGTCATCACTTGCAATGCCAGCATCCCATACCGGAGCAAGTTTTCAGTCTTTTTTTTTTTTTTAAAGATTTATTTGTTTTTATCATAAAGGCAGATCAGATTTATGGAGAGGGAAAGAAAGAGAAAAAGATATTCCACCTACTGGTTTATTCCCCAAATGGCTGCAACAGCCAGAGCTGAGCCAATCTGAAGCCAGGAGCTTATTCCAGATCTTCCACATGGGTGCATGGTCTCAAGGTTTAGGGCCATCCTCTACTGCTCTCCCAGGCCATAAATAGGGAGTTAGAAGGGAGGCGGAGTAGCCAGGACATGAACCAGCACCCTTATGGGATCCTGACACTTGCAAGGTAAGGATTTGGCCATTGAGCCATTGCACCAGACCCAATGGGTTACCTGCTCAGAAAGCAGTACTACCATACTGAATACCACACTTAGCCTAACAAATGAGCAATCACAGTGACTTTGGGTAATGGTGCTGAAGGCATGTGGTTTACATAAAAGAACTCTTGACATTACTAACTCAAATGCTGTAGAAGCTAAATAAATAACACTTAATTTTTTTTAAGATTTATTTTTATTGCAAAGTCAGATATTTAGAGAGAGGAGGAGAGACTGAGAGGAATATCTTCCATCTGCAGTTTCACTTCCTAAGCAGCTGCAATGGCCAGAGCTGAACTGCTCTGAAGCCAGGAGCCTGGACCCTCTCCCAGGTCTCCAGGTGGGTGCAGGGTCCCAAGGCTTTGGGCCATCCTTGACTGCTTTTCCAGGCCACAAGCAGGGAGCTGGATGGGAAGTGGTGCTGTCAGGATTAGAGCCAATGCCCACATGGGAACACGGCGCATTCAAGCTGAGGACTTTAGCTGCTAGGGCTGCTGTCCTGGGCCCAGTACCAAATCTTGAAAATTCGGTATTGAGAAAAAATCCAGTTATCTCATTAGTAACTTAACATTGATTACATGTTGAAGTGATATAAACATGTTGGATGAAATAAATTATTACAACTTAACTATTGGAAAACGTGTTAATTTGCAAATTTTAAGTAGTTTAATGCAGCTCATAATACATCCCTACCTGACAATACTAAAGCACCCCATTAAAGTTATGAAGCGGGGCCCAGTGCGATAGCTTTGAACCGGGATCTCATACGGGAACCGGTTCTAATCCCGGCAGGCAGCTGCACTTCCCATTCAGCTCTCGGCTTATGTCCTGGTAATGCAGTTGAGGACGGCCTAAAGCTTTTGGACCTTGCACCCGCGTGGGAGACCCGGAAGAAGCTCCTGGCTCCTGGCTTCAGCTTGGCGCAGCTCCAGCCGTTGCGGCTGCTTGGGGAGTGAACCATTGAAAGGAAGATATTCCTCTCTGTCTCTCTTCCTCTCTGTATATTTGCCTTTCCAATAAAAAAAATAAATAAAAATTTAAAAAAAGTTATGAAGTGAAAACGAATTCCCTATTAATCTACACCTATCTTTCTTGTTAACCAAAGTTCTTTAAATTCATTCCTGGCTCAGTGGCTCACTCAGGCTCAGAGAGAGGCAAAAGTTCTCAGTGGAGAGTGTGGAGTCAACAGGCCCCGATGTGTCCATAGGGTGGCAACCAACAATGGCCAAGTTCCAATGACACATCAGTGCTGCTTGCTAACACCTCCAATGTGACACACCTGAGCTGATGTTCTGGCGCTTGCAAGGATAGGTGTGCGGCAGAGGGTGGGGTTATTTTTTTTTTTTTTTTTCTGCTTTCGGTTTGGGAACCACTGGGGTGGCACATTCTTGGGTCAACATTTTTGTGAGGCAAACACCTTTGGCAAACCAGGGTGGGGCATGAACCAATGAAAACTTTTCGAGGCCAGTCAATGCAATGGGAACGTCAGTTTCTGGCCTGCCAGGTCCCTCTCCAACAGCAACGCACACAGAAGGAAAATGCCCGGAAAACCAACGTGAGGTACAGGAGATTCTATGTTTGAGACATGGGAAAAGAAAGCTGTATCTCCCACGGTGATCCCAGGGTAGGGTCTGCCATACTAACTTTCCTCAGCTTGGACAGACTGTTCCGTCTACACCAGTTTTCCGACGTTCGGCCACTGAAGCTTCCTCCTTGCCCGTGCCCCACCTCCTACCCCTTCAACAGCATCCCCGAAACGCCTTGCAGCCGCCATTTTAAACAGTACTATCGCGAGATATACTTAGCCGTCTCGAGGCTGACTCGTTTACTTTCTTACCGGAGTCTCTTCTCGGCTGTTCTCGCTGTAGTTGAGGAAAGTGTCGCGAGAGCTGGTTGCCTTGGCTCCCCGTAGCTATAGCAGCCGCGGCGGTTAAGGATGCGGCGGCGGGAGCGGTGAGTGCGACACCCTCAGGGGGGCGGGGCCGGAGGTAATGGGGTGCTGGGGAGAGCTCTTGTGGAGGGTGTGAGCAAGGTCGGGTCGCTGGGGAATGGACCCGAGTGTGACGAGTTGGGGAAGGACCCAGGTCCCGTAGGTAAAGGGACGGGACGCGGGTCTGCCCTGGGGCGCGCGGGGAGGGCTGGAGCTTCTGAGAGGTCCCGGGGGGAGGGACCCGGGTGTAGTGGGGTTTGTCGAGGGCAAGGGGTCGTGTCGTGGTGGGGGCCTCAGTGTGGGGACCTGCGTGTTGACTGAGACTTGGAACTGGATAAAAGGGACCTTGCTACGTCGGGGGAAGAAGTGGGAAGAAACGGGGTACAACGAGGAGGAAGAGGAGCAGGGTATGTTGATTGAATGGGAGCTCAGAGGTTGGGCCCTGTTTGTTTTTCACTGGCTGGGGATCTTTGAGGGGAACGAGAGAGGACCAGATCCTTGCAGCTACCCCTCCTGCCTCCCTCCCACCGCCCCAAACCGGCTCCGCCTGAGGCTGGTCGGGGACCTGGATCCTAAATGGCGTGGCGGGAATGGTGACGTCCCGGACCTTCCTCGCCTGCTTTCCCCGTCTTTGCAAAGAGATGAGCGCCGTGGCCGCTCTGGCGTAGGAAGGGAGAGTATCAGTGAACTAGTGTGAGTTGGGAAGGTTCTTTCTGCCGAGATACTTAAGAATTGAGATAATGAATGCTTGCTGCTTTAAAATAAAGCATGGGGTGGGGGCGGGAGAAAAAGAGCTACTAAGGTATACTTCCTCTGGAGTGTGCTGACTTGGAAGAAGGGGGTGTGTGCTAAGATTCATTCAAGAGTAGAACTTCTTTACAGTGCACTTAGGAAATTACATATGCAGTGTCAAAATCAGTGTAGATGATGTAGTGAAATAATGTGCAGTCAGGATACTCAGATTTTCTACGGATTTAACTTAAAAACCAAGACAAGTGTTGCTACAGCAGCAGCAGGCTCCACAGTAAATTGAGGAATAGTTTTGGTTATGTGGATTAAAAACCCTCAGGTTCCCCAAGTGTGCCATTTCAGGTTATCTGCCTTTTCAGGAGTGAGATTTTATTTTAGGGTACAGAACAAGTTTCGATTTTTTATTTTTGAAAGTCAAATGAGGCTCCCAGGAATCGAAAGCACTGGAAGGGGAGGACTTTTAATCTTATAGTCTCTAGGACTTTATTCTGCATCTGGGAGGTTGGTTTGGAGCACTTTCTTTGCTGTTTAACTCTTACTTCTAGTGGAAGCTAGTTTCAAGTCAAGCGTACCAAATAATTTATCCATTTCAGGATACAGATTCAGGTTTTCTGATAATTTACCTCCAAAAGGGCAGAAAAAAAAATTTGCAAGGGATAACCTCTCTTGATTATGTAACTGGGTTTTTCCATGGTGAGGTTCACAAATTCATTAATTAGAATAATGGCTTTTAAATCTTCTTTAGCTTGCTTAGATGTGGTTATTGAACACATTCATTTGATATTGCTAAAACTTTTAATTTGTTACGGGAGTAGCCAAGCCTTAAAAGTAGAAGTGGTTTTGAGAGGAAAGATAAAATTTTGTCTAGTGGATGGATTAAAAAAAATTTCTGCATAAAGTCAACAAGATTTCCTCAATTTTTACCATGTGTAGAGAACTGTGTGGGGCATTCTGCGCGTGCGCACATAGACACACAAACCCAAGTTTATTGATTTACTTACCGATTTGACAAACACTTGTTGAAACTTTTATGTCTGGAATACAAATACTAGTAAAACATGGGCCCTGCACAGTAGCCTAGTGGCTATAGTCCTTACCTTGTACATGCCAGGATTTAATCCTGGCAACCCTGCTTCCCATCCAGCTCCCTGCTTGTGGCCTGGGAAAGCAGTCAAGGACCCTGCATCTGTGTGGGAGACCTGGGAGAGGCTCCTGGCTCCTGGCTTCAGAGCAGCTCAGCTCTGGCTGTTGTGGCGGCTTGGGGAGTGATTCATCGAACAGAAGATCTTCCTGTCTATTTCTTCTCCTCTCTGTATATCTGACGTTACAATAAAATAAATAAATCCTTTAAAAATATTAGTAAAACTCGAATTCTTGGCTAGAATTGCACAGGCTGTAGGAGGAGAAACTAATAGAAAAACAAATTGTTACAATGTATTAAGAGAAGTGTTTCACTCTAGAGTATGAACAAAGTTCTGGCCCTGATGAGTTACATAGTAGTTTGGGAGAAAGAACTGTATATTTATATTTGATATTATTATTATTGGATAGTCAGATTTATGGAGAAGCAGACAGAAAGATCTTCCATTCCCTGATTCACTCCCTAAGTGGCCACATTGGCCAGAACTGAGCTGATTCAAAACCAGGGGGCAAGAGTCTCCTCCGGGTCTCCCACGAGGGGCAGGGGTAGGTTACAGGGTCCCAATGCCTTGGGTCATCCTGAACTGCGTTCCCAGGCCACAGGCAAGGAGCTGGATGGGAAGTGGAGCAGCGATAATCCCAATCAGCTCCCGTATGGGATCTCACCCCATGCTAGGTAAGGACTTTAGCCACTAGGTTATTGTGCCAAGCCTGAGAAAGAATTTTAAAAATTGCAAATGGGGCCCAGCACCCCGGCCTAGCAGCTAATCGCACCAGGATCCCATGTGGGTGTTGGTTCTAATCCTGGCAGTCCTGCTTCACATCCAGCTCTCTGCTTTTGACCTGGGAAATCAGTGGAGGAGGCACAAAGCCTTGGGACTCTGCACCCGCATAGGAGACCTGGAGGAGGCTCCTGGCTCCAGGCTTAGGATCGGTGCAGCACCAGCCCTTGTGGTCACTTGGGGAGTGAATCATTGGATGGAAGATATTTCTGTCTCTCCTCCTCTCTTTATATATATCTGATTTTGCAATTAAAAATAAATCTTTAAAAAAAATAAAAATTGGGCCCGGTGCAGTGGCACAGTGGTTAAGGTCCTCGCCTTGCACGCCCGGGATCCCATATGAGCGCCAGTTCTAATCCCGGCAGCCCCGCTTCCCTTACAGCTCCCTGCCTGTGGCCCGGGAAAGCAGTCGAGGACAGCCCAAAACTTTGGGACCCTGCACCTGTGTGCAGAAGAGACCCAGAAGAGGCTCCTGGCTTTGGATTGGCTCAGCTCCAGCCGTTGTGGCTGCCTGGGGAGTGAATCATTGGACAGAAGATCTTCCTCTCTGTCTCTCCTCTCTGTATATCTGACTTTCCAATAAAAATAAAATCTAAAAAAAAAAAATTCATCTATCTCTTCCAAGAAACTTAGTATTCCATTAAGGCAACACAGTTTAGTATTTGCTTACTCATTTGCGATTTTTTTTAAGATTTATTTTATTTTTATTGGAAAGGCAGATATACAGAGAGGAGGAGAGACAGAGAGGAAGATCTTTTGTCCAATGATTCACTCCCCAAGTGAGTGCAATGACTGGTGCTGCGCCGATCTGAAGCCAGGAGCCAGGAACTTACTCTGGTTCTCCAGGTGGGTGCAGGGATCCAGGGCTTTGGGCTGTCCTCGACTGCTTTCCCAGGCCACAAACAGGGAGCAGGATGGGAAGGGAGGCTGCTGGGATTAGAATTGGCAGCCATATGGAATCCCGATGCGTTCAAGCTGAGGACTTTAGCCACTAGGTTACCGCCGCACCAGGTCTGGGATGTCAACATCTTAACCCGTATCTCACAGGCCAGACGTCTTCCTGTGGCATATGGAGCTAGTTGCTGCTGCAGGTCCTGGTAGGCATCAGTCTTGGTTTAAAAAACTTGGGTTCCTGGCTCCCAGCTTCAATCCCACTTCAGCTCCACTCTGGATTTGTTTAGTAAACCAGCAGAGTGAAGCTCTCTGTCTCTTTGATAAGTGCATAAATATAGAAAAAAGCATCACAGCATTGTCAACTTAATAGCCTAACCATCATTTGAGTGATTGTTAATGTGCCATGCTCATTATTTGCATGTAGTTGTGGTAACCTTAGTATTTTTTTAATCTAACAGTGTTAATTAGTTAGTGTGGCAGAATGAAAAGGAAGGAGAGACAGAGATCTTCCATCAGTGGTTCACTTGTCAAATGCCCACAATAGCCAGGACTGTACCAGATCAAAACCCGGAGTCAGGAACTCCATCCAGGTCTCCAAAGAGTGGTAGGGACCCAAGTGCTCCAACAACCATCTGTGTTCATTAACAGGAAGCTGGGTGGGAAGTGGAGGGAAAACTTGATCCTGGTCCTGCCCAGAGCGCATAGCAGATATCTAAAGTGGCACCTTAACCCGCTAAGCCACAATGCCAACTCCTAATATGTTACTTTAAAAAAAAATTTATTCATTTTTATTGCAAAGTCAGACATACAGAGAGGAGGAGAGGCAGAGAGGAAGATCTTCCTTCTGATGATTCACTCCCCAAGTGACCTCAATGACCAGTACTGTGCCGATCAAAGCCAGGAACCAGGAACCTCCTCCAGTCTCCCACATGGATGCAGGATCCCAAGGCCTTGGGCTGTCCTCAGCTGCTTTCCCAGGCCACAAGCAGGGAGCTGGATGGGAAGGGGCTGCTGGGATTAGGACCAGTACCCACATGGGATCTGGGCATGTGCAAGGTGAGAACTTTAGCCGCTAGGCTACGGTGCTGAGTCCTAATGTGTTACTTTTAAATAGGGCAAAACTGAGGCTTAACACATTCAAGAAGTTATGTATATGGATATGTGAAGATCACAGAAATAGTCAATGGCAGATTAGGGAATGGAATTAGACATTTCTGTCATTGTTAAAAAGGAAAAGGGAAATCCTTAGGCACAGTGGTTAATATCCTACTCAGGATACCCGCATCTCCAACAGAGTGCCTGGACGAGAGTGCCAGGACAGCACCTGCTCATGAGCACCGGGGGCAGAGGTCATAACTTCAGAACTGGAGTGTCATCCATGTGGAAATCCAGGCCCAGCTGAATTGAGGTGCCTGGCCCAGCCCTAGCTCTTGTGAGCACTGGGAAAGTGAACCAGG